GGGGTGAGTGCTGCATGTGGTGCAGTCCAGCTGGGGTAGGCATTGTGTGTAGGATGGCACCTGCTCTGGCTGGTCTGGGAGCCATGCTACATGCCCCTGGCTGGACTGTACCACACATGGTGCCTGTTCCAGTTGCTCCAGGTTCCACACTGCAAACAGGGTAGGTCCCAGACTGGCTGGAGTGGCCACCAGATCCCATATGCCAGGGGAGGGGAAAGGGAGATGCTGTCTGTGGACCTGGTCTGCCCTGTGGATCAGCCCTGCACCATGCCCTGTGTGGATCTGATCAGATTCAAAGGCACGGAAGGGGGCCGGACAATGAGGCTCCACAGGCTCTATTTGACACCCCTGCCATACAGCCACATGTTCATTATTGTTGTTACCCATGCTCACTGTATTAAAGTTAGGATTACAGCACAGGTAGGCACCATCTTCCTTTCAAGTGTAGACTTACTATTGATAGGACCACATCCACATATGACCAGCTCTACTTCATAGATTTCATAGACATTAGGGCTGGAAGGGACCTCATGAGATCATCGGGTCCAGCCCCCTGCCCAAGGGGCAGGGAGTCAGCTGGAGTCAGATCATCCCAGCAAGATAAGCATCCAAGTGTGTTTTAAAGGTGTCCAGAGTAGGTGCTTGCACCACTTCTGGGGGCAGTCTATTTCAGACTCTGGGGACTCAGATGGTAAAGAAGTTTTTTTTTAATATCCAGCCTAAAATGGTCTTCTTGGAGTTTATGACCGTTAGACCTTGTCTTCCCTTGGGGTACCCTGGTGAACAGACGTTCTGCCAGTTCCAGGTGCACACCCCTAATATACTTATAGATCGCCACCAAGTCCCCCCTGAGCTTTTACTTTTCCAGGCTGAAGAGTCCCATGCCTCTCAGCGTTTCCTCATAAGACTTGTTCTCTTGTCCTCTGATCATATGCGTGGCTCTCCTCTGGACTCGCTCAAGCTTCTCCACATCCTTCCTAAAGTGCAGAGCCCAGAACTGGATGCAGGACTCCAGCTGTGGCCTCACCAAGGCCGAATACAGCAGGAGGATGACTACTGGCTGGACCCTATTCCCATTCATTCCCTATAAGATCAAACTCCCTTTGAGGAGGCTAGTGGGCCATTTCCACTGAGCTAACAGTCTCACCAATTCATAATACAGGAATGTGGCAGGGCCTGCCACTTTAAGGGCGGCAGCAGGCAACAGCCAGGTGCTTGTGTACAGCAGCCATTTTGAGACTCAGGGTATATATAGGGTGAAGCAGCAGTTTGCTGCTGGCAGCTGTCAGCATCAGCTGGCGAAATTGGGGCTCAGGAACAGCTTGGAGGTTTATGGGCTGGGGCTATGGGTATGGAGGAGGCTCCTGGTACTGCGCATGACCTAAAACTGCACCCTGCTGGGGACGGGTGGCCTGGTGGGGCTCCTAGTGGTGTGGGAGCCCCCAGGAAATGCCAAGCCAGTTACCACCCCAGTGAAAGGTGGGTCAGGGTGCCTTAATAGCCTCAGCCCCCACAACCACGTGGGTAAGCCCATAGTAGGGCCTGAGAAAGTAGACCCATGTAAGAGAGTATGGGCTAGATGCTCAGAAGCCTGATTTGAGGCACCCTCAACTGGTCAATGCTGGGGCCAGGATCAGAAGGGTCAAAAGGGCCAGGGGCCCACTGTGAGGGATACCCAGAGCTGACGGCCTGGGGTTCCAAGTGACCTTGGAGGTGAGGCTAGGGCTTGTGTGGTGAAAGGTCCTGGGGGGCCACACATGAGAGGGGCTGGAGTGCAAGGAGCTTGGCAGCCCAAAATGAGGGTGGAGTAGGCTGCCTGATGGGAAGGGATCTAGTTGGGGTCCAGACTAGAATGTTATGGGGCACAGTGTGAGGCTGGAAATGTTAAGAACTGAGATACCATCTGCAAGGCATAGGCTGCAGTGCAGGGAAGGCTTGGAGCTGCAGATAACGCCCCCTGGCATTGGGGCAAAAAATGGGAAGCCTCCTGCCTGGCTAATATCTTAATCATTTTCTATCAAGGTGTGGTGGGCAAGAGATGCAGGTAGTTAGCTCAGAAACAGGTGGGCAGGTCAACTTCTAACCGGCCCTGGGAAGGCCCCCGGTACACTTTCCAACAGCCGCACAACATTAGACCAGTGGTTGTCAGCTGGGGGTACGCACACCCCTAGGGGTAATTAAAAAGGTCATAGGAGGTATGCAGAAATGATGTGGCCAATAAATGCTATGTGCGTGGAGAGCTGGTAAGTCTGTTGAGGGAAGGGAGGTAGGTGGCGGGGGGGCAGACTGAGGCCCTAGTGGTGGGGGAGGGAGCGAGGCTGGGACAGAGGCAGGGGCTGCCCAGCCTGGGCAGGGCACGGGACTGAGCTGCACACAGGGTGGGGGGTGGCTCCCGCCACTTCATGCACCCTTGGGAGGGCATGGGTGGCGCATGACCCCAGATCTGCAATGTGGGCTGGGGCCAGGGCTGCGCCAGGCTCTTCCTGGTGTGGGGGTTGGGCTATGCTGTGCTTGGGGCACATGGCAGCAGCACTGGGAGGGGAAGTTGAGGGGACTATGGTGAATTTTGGAGTGGCTGCAGTCTCTCCTGTAGCCCCCCTCCCAGCGCTGCCGTCACCGAGCTGAGTGCAGCTCTGGCCCAGCCCCCCACCAGGAAGAGCCCAGCCCTGTCCCAGCCCGCAGTGGCAGCCCACTCTTGCCCCACGTGCAGATCCGGGGCACACACCATACCATGCCCTCCTGGGGTGTGCATAGTGGCAGGAGCTGCCGCCCCCCTCTCCCTGTGCCCCCCCAGACAAGCCACTCACAGCTCCATCCCACGCTCTACCCTGGGAATGCAGCACCTCCCCCTGCCCCAGCCCCACTCCCCCCCTCACTGTGGGGACCTCGATCTGCCCCCCCACACCCTTAAAAACAAGAAAAATATATAAAACGTACATGAGCTAAAACTTTGAGACAGAAGGGGTACACTTGTTAAAAAAGGTTGAAAACCCCTGGATTAGATGATAAAATAGAAAGATAAGAAACCCAGGCCAAATTCATTCTGGCATATGTGGTTTCCATTTTCAAAAAAGGGAGGAAGGAGGACCCAAGAAACTATAGGCCTGTTAGTCTTACCTTGGTCCTGGGTAAGCTTTTTGAGAGAATTATCCTGGCACATGTCTGCAAGGGGCCAGCAGGGGAGATTATGTTTAGGGGCAGCCAACATGGGTTCATAAGAGGCAGGTCCTGTCAGACCAACCCAGTGGCCTTCTATGACCAGGTCACAAAAATCTTTGGACGCAGGTGTTGCGGTGGACATAGTCTTTCTGGACTTTAGGAAGGCCTTCAACATTGTGTCTCACCCCATTCTCATTAAAAAACTAGGAGACTGTGGCGTCGACACCTACACAGTCAGATGGGTCACTAACTGGCTGGAGGGCCACACCCAGAGAGTGGTGGTGGATGGGTCTTATTCGACCTGGAGGGATGTAGGCAATGGGGTTCCCCAGGGCTCGGTCCTTGGACCCACGCTGTTCAACATCTTCATCAGCAACTTGGACAAGGGGGTAAAAAGCACCCTGTTCAAATTTGCAGATGACACCAAGATGTGGGGAGAAGTGGGCACGCTAGAAGGAAGGAATAGGCTGCAATTGGACCTAGACAGGTTACAGGGGTGGGTGGAGGAGAACAGGATGGGTTTCAACACTAACAATTGCAGGGTACTGCACCTGGGGAGGAAGAACCAGCAGCATACCTACAGGCTGGGGAACTCCTTCTCGTCAGTGCAGAGGCAGAAAAGGATCTTGGAGTCGTTACTGATGCCAAAACGAACATGGGCCGACAGTGTGGGGATGCGGTCAGGAAGGCCAACCACACCTTGTCATGCATCCACAGATACATCTCAAGCAGGTCCAAGGAGGTGATCCTCCCCCTCTATGTAACACTGGTCAGGCCACAGTTGGGGTACTGCATCCCACACTTCAGCAGGCATTGGGGGAGTCCCGGTTCCCCCAAGCACTACCAGGAGTGACTAGAAATAACAGTCACAAGCTGGCGGAGGGTAGATTCAGGCTGGACATCAGGAGGCACTACTTCACAGTCAGGGTGGCTAGGATCTGGAACCAACTTCCAAGAGAAGTGGTGCTCACTTCTACCCCGGGGGTCTTTAAGAGGAGGCTGGATGAACATCTTGCCAGGTCGTTTGACCCCAGAATTCTTTCCTGCCATGGTAGGGGGTCGGACTTGATGATCTGCTCAGGTCCTTTCTGACCCTACCAACTATGCAACTATGAATTATGGAACTCTCAATGACTAATATGCAGTGAAACTATTCAAGATGTTGGTCAAAATTTGCCTTCACTTTTCCCATAACTGTGCACTTATAACATGCTATTACATTTTTCACCAACAGACATAGCTGAACACTTGAAAAGACAAAATCTCCTAAATCTGTGATTTCTCAGAGGCAACCTCAGGAGAGCTGTGTATTGCGCTACTGATGTAAACAAAATTCCCCAGTGCAGTCAATGTGACAGATGCCTACTTCATAGGATCAATCAGATCAGGGCTTCATAATTTCATGCATATTTAGATATCTGTAAGTTAATGCATCTCGATACTACTGTAGTTTAGACCCCAGTAGTTCTGCTCACAATAAAGTCTTTAGCATAAACCTGATAGATTCAGGATGGAGCCTGTTACTGAGCAGGTAGGTACCAAACACAAAACCACTGTAAACACAGAGTACTTTTCTCCAGGCACTCAAGAAATGCATAGTTTCCCTGACTCTCCCTACTATGGTATTGGAAAAGATGATTTTGCTAAAACAACATGAAACAAAGCAGCGATGAGAGCATGCATTTGTATATTACAGGTAAATTACAGGGCCAAATCCTGTGCTCATTTACTCACATGAGTAGTCCAATTGTCTTTACTTGGTTTTCCCCATGAGTCAGAAGAGAAGGATTTGGCCCTTTCTATACAACCTATGATGTGAGAATTGAATATGATCTGCTTACCGAAGGATTTCTTTCCGAGTGAAAAAGGTACAATCCTGTAAAAAAAGAAAATGCATTAATTTACAAGAGAGAGAGATACCACCTTCAAGAAAACTGTTTCTTGCTTCCTGAAAATACAAGTTAAATTCAGGCTGGGTGTAAACAGTTTCAAGTTGCTGTGCTAAGCTCAATTTAACTGTGGCTCATAACAGGGAGTTGTGGACATGGTGCTGTAAAGTAACTGGAATCTGAATTCTCTTAAATCTAAGGAGGTCAGGACTGTCAGATAGGCTCTGTGTATTCATAGGCTGAAACATCAAAAAATCCTGTCGTGTCTTTTGTATGTGCCATCGGTGGCTTTGCTCAGAACAGTCACTGCACAGTAAAATGACCAGACTAGAAGGGGTAGCTATAGAAAGGAGCTCTATGATGAAAATACCCAGTATATATGCTTCAGGGAACTGTTCTTCAACTATCAACACTTTGCAGTAAAATAGTTCTAAAATGATCTAATTAAAGTAGTAGTATTGATAACAATTATTTGTACTGTAGCAGTACACAGGCACTCTAGTCATGAATGTGTTATGCTAAGTGCTGTACAAATACAGTATAAAGAAATACAGTCCCTGGTCCAAAGGGCTTACAAACTGACAGAGTTGTTTATAAATTTTATACTTAGGCCACTCAGTGACAAGGTAATAATTTCTGACCTATAAATGTCCTAAACAGAGCACATGGGAGAAGGAAATGTGATTTAATTCCTACGTTTCACTCACTTAAAGGAAAAGCATTTCATTGCTGTACTGAGAATCCTTCTGGCCCACTGGCTGCTCCTTCCAGGAAGGGGAAAGAGAACTAGCATAGCTGGTTGTAGTTGTATCCCCTAAGTTGTCTCAGGTTTCCAGGTAGGCTATCACGCCTGTTTGGCATCAATAATTAAGTTCTCTTGACCCTCTCCATATGAAGTGGTAGGAGAGGCAGTTCCTCCTTCAGCATATTGTATGGCAGAATACTGTTACAGGGGCACAATGGGAGGACGCCTTGTGAGTTGCTGACAGTGATGTCACATTGTCTGGAACTGCACAAAATGAAATCTGAGCCAGCTGGGTAGGTGCTCACTAATTCTAGCACATGTAACACCTACAGTCAAGGTACCACTTGAAGACAATTCATTTACTAGCAAAAGGCTGGTACAGTTGGATAAACAAATATGATGTTATCAGTACCAATCTTCCTGTAATTATGCAGACTTGTGAAAGCAAGACTGTTACTTCACTAGAGAATTGAGAAGGAAATTCATGTCCAAATGGATGCAAAGATGGAAAACAGATATTATCCTCAAAGAATTACTCAAGTCCCTCTAAACTCCCGAAATAAACCTCTGGATTCTGGTTCAGACCTCTTTCTGGTAACAAATACACCCTCTGCTTTATAGGCACTTTAGCTAAGACAGTACCTATAAACTTGTTTCAAGATTAGATGTTCAGATGACTGCACACAGTCTCTAGGAAGTGTTTTGCCTTTGAGAAGATTGGCTGTTCTTCCCTGGCAAATGCTAAGTAATTTTATTGAATTTTGTAGTGACTGGATCTGTGGCAATTTAATTCCAATTTAATTAAAGACTTTTGCCCAGGAGAGATGCAGAGCTGAATCATCTGATTTTCATCTGGAGATTTCATTCATACAAAAATAACCAACAAAAGAACAAGTAGTAGATTGACATATATTCTCTTTTTCAGAGAGGAGGGTGGAAAGGGCTTGAGAAAGCAGGGTATACTGTCTATGTTTAACACTACTGATACTTGCTCTCCCTCAAAGGGAGACAGGCACATTTCCTACCATGCACATTCCTGACTATGGCTTATTCTGCTAAGAATTTAAAAACCTCACACCCATCTACTGTGCTTGAAGTTTAAAGCTCACCCGACACCTGCCGTAACAGCACAAGGCAGTTCCCTCTATGGGAGTAACCTAAATTAATGAGGGGGGATGTGCCCCAGTGAATTTACCTCCTGGACTCAATCTCAGTAATGTCAGTCAAAATATTCCCTTCCTCCATGATGCCCATTGCTACGCAGTACACATGGGGTTTTCAACCAGGGGGTACACGTACCCCTGGGGGTACTTTGGAAGGCCCCAGGGGGTACGTGGCAGCAGCGGCATGAAGAAGCTGCTGGCACTTGTGGTTTTGCCACTGTGTGGAGGACCCCCTCCCCCCTCCCACTCATCAACCGGCCGCTGGGGGACTTCTCACTTCTTGACCAGCCCCCAGGGGTACCCTGACCAAAAAAGGTTGAAAACCCCTACCATTGCCCCTCCATCTACAGACTCTGTATGTATGAAGGTTCCTGGAGGCAAGACCTTGCTTTCCAAGAAGGAAATGCATAAGTTGTCATATGGATTAGTCACTGAGGAAATGTTGAAAGGTCATTGCTGTCTTTAGAGGTTAGATGTCATTTAACCATTTATCTACTTAGTGTACCATCTCTGGTTAATTTCTTTTTTTCTGTCTGCATGTCTGCCTGTGGCAGTGAATATGAGGAGATTCTTTTGTAAATAAAGTTCAATTAACTTTTTCAAGCTTTCTGTCCCATAAAATAGAAAATTCAGTTTAACTATCAAGAAACTGGGGGTCCATTCAGATGTGTCTGTAAGTCATTTTTACATTATCCATTTTGTTAATTAACAAGAGTGCAGTTGCTGATCTTTCAGAGCAAGGAATCAGTTCTGAAACTAAATATGAATAACTTCTTAAACATTTCTAGGGAGAAAAAACACAAAAGAAAAGAGCTGGGGGCATGTTCTAAATACCCAGGATTGGTTTTGAATAGCAATAGAGATTGCTCTGAAGTCATAAGTGAGAGACATATTACTGGGAATTGTATCATTACAGGAAACTTTACTGTTAAGATGTAGACTGGAGAATAAATGCTACTAAAATGGTAGGGCCCAAATATTCCTGGATGTCTCAGCTGACAAGTTTCTTCACCAAAGAGTCACTGAATTAATCTATTTTAGATCTGTTTTGGGGGTTTTAATAAATAATATGATCATAGAAAATAATCTTGAACTGAGAGATCATGATTTGATTCTGTTTGAATTAAATAGAGGGATAAACAAAAGTAGCTCTGTACTGACACGTTTTATTTTTAAAAGGGAGAAATTTTATAAATGAAGGGAATTATTTAGGGAAGTCAACTAGACAGGGCAGTTCAAGGACTTGAATGCAGAAGAGACATAGATTTTCTTTAAGTTCAAAGTTCTAAAACTATCAAGAACCTGTATCCTAAAGTAAAAACTTACAGGAACAGGCTCCAGACCTAAGTGGATAAGTAACCGCTTCAAGAAGGATATTAGGAAAAAGATGAGCGCATACAAGGAATTTAAAAAGGATCTCTCAGCAAAGAAAGCTGAGTTTTAGAAAACATGAATTCTAGAGGATAAAATGAAAATTCCCAAAATGTTTTGCAAGAAATTTTGCAACAAACAGCAAGAGGCTCTTCAGTTACAGTAAAATAAAAGGAGAATATGAGAAGAAAAGGATGGGGCTACTATGAGGATGGGATAGAGATTTTTTTTTGACTAAATTAATTTCTACAAAATGAGTGTTTCATCTCAGTTTCTTTAAAGAGGGTGTTGTTGGACAATGCAGCAAAGGCAAGATGAATAATAGCAATTAGGATATGGAAACAGAAATTACCACAAGCAAGGTAAAAGCATAACTCCAACTCCAAAAGAGACAAGCGTACTCAGTCTCAGAGGACCACATAACCTCCATCCCAGAATTCTCAAAGATCTGGTTCGTGAAATTGCAGACCCAGTAGCAAATATTTTTAATAAACCTATCAAGTTGAGGATAGTAACATATGACTGGAAAACAGCAAATGCAATACCTATATTTAAGAAAGGAAAGAAGTAGCTTCAGCAGTTACATGCCTCTTAGTCTAACATCAATAGTATTCAAGGCTTTAGAACAAATTTAAAGGAAAGAATAGTCAAGGAGATAAAGGTGACTTAAAATGGAATAAAATGTAAGGGATTTATCAGAGGTAGATCGTGCCAAACTAACCGCATGTCTTTATCTGATAATGCTAATGATTTTCTAGGCTAAAGAATGATGTACATCTCATCTATCTAGACTTCAGTAAAGCACTATGTGGGAAATTATTAGTTGAGATGAAAAAATGAAATGTAAGGGGAATAATAAAAGAAATAGGAGGTAGGTGAACTAACTAGTTAAAAGGGGAGGAGACATTAGGTAGTACTGAAAGGGGAAATATTATTTTAAAAGAAGAACTCAAACTGGAGCAAATGCAGAGAAGGATTTCTAGGTTAGGAGAATGGAGAGACTATCAGCTAAGAGGTGACTAGTAGAGCTTGTCTAGTTTAGCCTAGCAGAATGAAAGCTCAGAGGAGATACGTGCTCTTCATATACAGGAAACCCTCGTTATACGCGGGTTCAGCATTCGCAGTTTCAAATATTCAAGAATGCCAAATCCGCATTTTAAATACACTTTATATACTTCCAGGAGCTCCTTGGGAGCTCCGCACTTGCTGCTGCCACACTCCCACCACCGCCGCTGGGCTCCCACCACTGCTGCCACACTCCCGCCATCACCATCGGAGCCGTGCCCCTGCCCCAGCGGCACTGCATTCATGAATGCAGACTGCGTTCATGAACGCAGTGCCTTATTCGTGGATTTCGCCATTAGCAGGGGATACGAGAATGTATCCCCCCTGAATAGCAAGGGTCGCCTGTATACATAAAGGAGCTAAACACCAGGGAAAGTAATAGAGCTATTTATGCTAGGAGACATTGCTGGCAAATAGGTATAAAATGGTCATGAATAAATTTAGTTTGGAACGTAGAAGGTTCCCAACCATTATAAAAGTGAGGTTCTGTAACAGCCTTCTGGTAACAGTAGTGGGCAAAAATCTATCTTTTCAGATGGAGCTTGATTAATTTATGAAACGAATTTGATGTGATGCCTGCAATAACGGGGATTGGACTGGATACAGGAGGACCCTTCGAATCCTTTCTAGCTTCCTTATTTGT